CCCCCCCCCCCAATTAAAATAAATAAAGCTTTTTGTACAGATTGCTACACATGAAAATGTATGCGAGCAATTTATGGAATTCGAAAATGTTACATAATCGGTTACTTTACTGAAACAGTTATCTACACGATAAAGGGATCACTTTGTGATTGATTCCCGCAGGATACACGAAGGAACCACGAAGTTCATTTTCGAATTTACGGTTCTTAAAAGAACGCCTCTATACATCCATACCTACAAATTATCGTGTTGTTTGTGTTTAATGTTACTTAATGATAAGTAGTGGAATAAGTTTTAAACAAAACAACAACATTTAGATCACAGTCTCCGCTGACGATAGCGTTGCGCGAATAAAATTAAAAACTGTGCAATAAACGGCCACAGAATTAATATAGCGAATAATCGCGGAGAACATTCCGGTAAAGGCCACCATTTCGAGTATGGACTTGTTGTAGGCTGTCTCTGAAATGCAATAAGTCGTTAAGTGATTACATGCGAAAAGAAATAACATCTAATGCGAACAATCTGAAGATTGGAATTTGGCCATTAAAAGTAAACTTACGATTTGCGGCGCTAACGCATGTAATGCCTGACCTTCTAAGCTGCGTACTCTAGCTGTTATTCTGTCCAAGTCCCTTTGTAAATTTTGCATAGTTGTGGCTACTTGATTAAAAAAATCAACATTTGATTTTTCATCTCGCTTATTCCTTTGTCTGCTCCTTTCTTGTTTACTGTCTACTACTGTCTCCATGTAACCACTTATATTGGTGTATCCATTAGTCAATTCCGAAGAATTCTCCTTTGAAACGACTAGCTCGTTAAATGCGTCATTGCTAACGTTTATTCCGTTCGATACTTTCTGGCTCGAAGTAGAAATTTTCATTGTTTCCTTTTGCGATCGTTCCGGAGCAGTCTGTATGTAAAAAATAAAATTTCATTAACTCAAAACGAAACAATCTTTCACTTTGATACCAGATGCTTTCTTTCACGTCTTTAATATGAACAACTTACTTCGACGGTATCTATGAATTCTTCCTCCTCGCCGTCAGTGTCCGGTGGTAATGGACTCGCACTGTTACTACTGGCTGGACTAGTCTCTAAACTACTCGCGATGTGCCTAGTCATATTACAAACCCTGTGTGGCGATGTTTCTCTCGATGCTGTGCAATATACGTTTATTATAGTTTTTCGATATATATTTTAACAGAATGTCCATTTATTGCTTACCAGATATTGAAATAAAAGTAATGCTTGTATTATGAACGTTTACAAATACCAACCCAAGGGTGAACCGGACAATGGTGAACCAGGTTGCGAACGCATCCGCTCTAAAACAGGGCCAACAAGTAGCTCCAAATCCTCCTGAGGAACGCTCTCATAAAATGTATCCAAACTTCCCAGAAAATTGGCCACTTTATCCGTATAAGACATGGTCTCCACGATCTAATGCAATATGTAAATCAACATTAAACATTGTTAGTAAATTGTTACATTAAATTATAGTCAATTATATGTGTACACACACACACACATATATATATATATATATACACGTATATACAATATATATATATATATATGTATGTATATATATATATATATATTTTTTTTTTAAATCAACCTTTTTCAATTCTTCTACATAATTATTCATAGCTTCTGTTGTACTCATATTACCCAATCGACTCCACGCACCCCACTTAGCTTTTTTGACTAAATCCCAGAATCCAGGCTTTGATTGTTGGCACGGTCCTTCTGTTGCTTGTTTATAGTATGCATAAAAACGTAGCATAACTTCATTGCTGGGTTGATAAGCTCCTAAAATGTAATAAGAAGAAACACAAGTAATTCAACTACTAGATTGTTCGGTTAGAAATTTAAACGAGGATGCTCGCACATTTAATTAGAATGAATAAAAAGTATATTTCCACGCTTATGAATTTAATAACAGTCGGCGAATGTACTACAGCTAATACAAAGTAGAACGGCAAAGTTATTTGATAGAAACAAATTCTTTATAGGAAACACCCATAATATATAAGTTCAGGAATAGCAACTAAGAAGAAAATAGAAATAAATTTGTTTAGTGGATTTAGGGTCTAGAGGCTTTTAATGCATACTCTAAATTGACAATAAAATATATTCGAAACTTTTTGTTCATTTAATATTAACTTATCGTTATTATCGTAATTGTTTGTTATTTATTGCGTTTATATAATGTGCGTCTTGTACGAGTTTCACGAAAGAAGCGCATCATTATTGAAAATCAGAAAAAGATTCGAACAAAACAAGCATATTATATCGTGATAAATTTAAATGAAAAGATAAATATTTTGTCAAGTCAGGCGTGAACTTTGTACGATTGCTTGGCGTTACGAGCCGATTATCATTGCAATATGTAAAGCAAGTATTGTATGCATTTTCCGTTCATATATTAAGAATTAACAGGACAAAGAAATTAATTGAACAAGTTTGGTGCGTACCTAAAACATATTTTTGAAAAAGAAAAAGAAAAATTAATTAAGTTTCTAGCTGCATACACGATATTCGGATGAGCCTCGTAACAAGTGTGTTTTACATCCTAAACACGGGGAAAGAGAGCGACAGAGATCAAACCATTGAAGAAAACGGATTGTGTAGTTCACGTTGACACAGTTAGACGTCCGATTAGAATAATTTCGCCTAATTGGCTAAAAAGTTTACCATTTTTTGGCAGACTCCGGATCACATTAACAGCCGCGTGAAACTTCTCCTCTGTCGTCATGGCAAGTAATGGCAAGATCCGCAGTTTTTTTAACAGATAGATACACAACCTGCTTTGCTTCTACGTTCTTCGTTTTTTATTTCTATGTATCGACCGTTTCGAATCGAATTATTCGGTGTTATTTCAGGTGAAAACTATTTTGAAGAAACATCAATCGGTTCACTTTCACGAAACATGGACAGAGAATCGCGTAAACAGGAGAATAAGCAAATGACAGATCACCAATTGATGACTGGACTGGCGATCGTCTGTCCAGTAATCATAGATTCACGATAGCGCATGCGCGTTAAGTGATCGGACGTTTAACCCCTTCTTTGTTGCTTGCAATCTATACATGCACGAAATATCGTATACACGACTACATTATGTATCGTACACTTGCCATTCACCGTACCACGATAAGATAGCACTTGGTTTGGACAGAGAAACTTCAAACTTGTGGCAACATGCCTATCCTCCACCACCTGATATACCCTCTACGTATGTATACATTGTACCCGATTATACCTACCTTGGGCCTTAAACCATAATCTAAAGTCATAAGGTACCTACTATACAGAAACAATTGTACCTAAGATTGGGGCCCCCTCGCACACATGCGGTCATACCATGAGGACAGTGCCTAGTGTGGTAAGGTGCAGCATGCTGCCACATGCAGTGTGTAATAATAATAATATAATCTATAATATTATACACCGCGAGGGTGACGCTTAAGATGTTAATTATGAGAATCCGCCATCTTGTTATGCACGCTATAGCTAATTTGAACCACTAAGCCTGCGCAATTTGTTACGAGCGAACTGCCAATAATTGAATCATTGTCTCCACAACAGAGTTCATATTCACAGATCGGCACAAGGAAGAAATACAATAAAGTAGCTCGACGCAGCTGTCCAGTTGCTTACGTCTATTATATCGTGTAGAAGGGAATCTTAGAAGTTCTACGAAACGCTTTTTAAGGAATTTTATTATTTACTGTACACAGCAGGAAATATTTACTGTGCAGCTGCAGCCGTTGGCGCAGAGGTTGTGGCTTTAGCCTGTTCTTCGCGAACACGGTCTTTCTTAAGTTGGCCCATGAAAGAAGCTTTGTCAGCAGCGGTCTGGAAACGACCATGTCCAAATTTGGAGCTGGTGTCGATGAATTTAAGATTGATCTTCTCCAATGCGGATCGCTTAGTATGCACCAACAATGACTGTAACAATATACTCCTTTAATTATACTCGCTTCGAATTGTACAAATTCATAGCATACTATACCATCTGTCAGTCCTATCATTACATATCACCTATAGATAAATCATATATTTACTAGCTCTCTATTTTCTCATCATAATGAACTACCGATAAAGAATTGTTTAGCAACATTTGCGATCGATTACCTTGCGTAGAGTAATTACACGTTTTTTTGGTCCCATGCAACAGCCTTTAATCATAACGAAGTCATTGTTCACTTCACCATAATGAGGGAAACCGCCCATAGGAGTAATCGTCTTTTCGGTACGATCGTACTCTGTAGAAGCATTGTTCTTTACAATCTAAAACGAATTAGAGGACATTTTTTTAAACTTTATTCGCGGTAAGTAAAGTAAATTGATGTAGTATGCTTTGGAGACCTAAAACGTAACAAGTGCATACGTCTTTAGGCACTATGACTGCATAACGTTTCTATTCGCCTTGTATGAGATTATTAATCTTCATAAAGAAGAGTAACGTAGGGACAAGGCAAATCTTTAGAATAACATAGACAATATACCTTGCCATCCTTGGTATGAATCCCTTGACCGATTCTGTAAATCTTTTTATTCATCTCTGTACGATGATGATAACCTTTTTGACCAGCACGAGCAACAGTGAATGATACACGACTTGGATGCCAAGCACCGATGCAAGCAACTTTCCTCAATCCCTTATGTGTCTTGCGTGGTAGTTTCTTTGTATGCCAACGCGACGTAACACCTGGAATCATAAAATCATATTTCTTAAACCTACCGTGTACAAAAAAAAAAAGAAAGAAGTTGCTATAACATAGGTTAGCATGTGCACGTAGAAAAGGACTTCAGTAGGAAGGCAGCACGAATATTATCTTCAATCTATTCAGATAAATACACATTTCGTGTTTTCATCATATAGTCCAGTAATAGGATTACAAAATTTCTGAATAGATATCGTTTAAACCCACCTTTGTACCCTTTTCCTTTCGTGACTCCAATCACGTCGATCATTTCATCCGAAGCAAAAACACTGCTAATCGGCACAGGCTTCTCTAGGTGTTCACGAGCCCATTGAACCTTCTGTTCGATAGTTCCCCCATTGAGTTGAATCTCCATAATATGGGCTTTCTTCTGGCGTTGTTTCAACAATCTCATCTATTCGCGCGATCAGATAACACATTGTTATTAGGCATCGAAGACAATCCTATGTACACCGACATTGAAAATGATGTTCAGTTTTCAAGAATACCTGCGTGTGAGCAATAACTCTTACAACTTTGCAATACTTTATAATCTTGCTTAAGTCGTTTTCAATGGATTTTCGACCAAGATCATCTTGCCATTTCTTGGAAGCCTTCGTAAATGCCTTCTTCTTGCTCTTGTACCTGTAGAAAAGTGACCATAATGGCTGTCTTTTTTTGTATCTCCAGCATCAGTACCAATCTGTAACGTGCCAGTCTCTTCTTATAGAGCGGAGACTGTACACAATTTTTGAACGAACTTTTCAAAGAATGCATCTTTGTACAGTCAAATTCAAAAACTTGCTCTCTTCAAGACGAGCGGAGAGCTGATTTGAAATTGTTTTAGTACAAGTTGAACAATACAGTTAGCATCGTAAACACCATAATATAAAATCTGAAAGCAATGTCTTACCAATTCTTGTAGAACCTCCTACGACAGCCTTCGGAAAGATGTTCTGCCCAAACTGTGGTAAGAGCACGCAGTCCGTGCGGAGTTTCTATGTAACCGACTACGCCAACCACGATCATCGGCGGTGTCTCAAGGACTGTAACAGCTTCTACAATTTCCTTTTTATTTACCTCTGAAAACAGTAGATGTATTAATGTCACAATACGTTGGCCATAAAAAGAGTAACATTTATTTATGAAGATTAAACAGCTGTGCCAGACATGGTTTGTCTCAATGATCATCACCCAATGGGTTATCAAGAGATTATGGAATATGTCGTGCCTCCTTGCTCTCAGTGTGAGCAGAGAGCATAGAGCTAATTTTCGACACTGTGGTAAAGACCGTACTGCACAATATCAAGCAGCTCTTGGACCACGACCAAAGCCGACCGACGCATTTCTGCATCTATCGGACTAAGGCTATCGTGTCGATTATTTCAAATTTGAAGTAATACTCGACGGAAGATAAGATTCTCCAATACCAATCACGTGTTACGGTAACGTAAAACTAATTGCTTGTGAAATGGTCGCTCACTTGATCCTGGACGATCAGCTTCCCTGACCACGTGGGTCATACCGGCCTTATATCCAACGAACGCAGTCAAATGTACTGGTTTGCTCGGATCATCTTTCGGAAAGGCCTTCACTTTACCACGATGACGCTGAGATCTCTTCTTGGGGTAGAATCCCATAGACCCATGCCGGGGGGCACTGAACTTCCTGTGCGACTTTACAATAAAAGAAAATCTTTCGTCAAGATTGCGAATCAAGCGAATCAAACAAAATATTTCAATTAATCAGGCATCAGACCGCCCTAGAATTATCCTCATGGTTATTCAGTTGAAACCATAAACTGTACACATCTAGAATCATCATTAAATAGAAAATAAGAAAATTGAACACGTGGTCAACTTGTATGTATCACGTTCATAAGATTATTACATTGTTAATTCGATAAAAAATTAGAAAGTAATACCGAGATAGATTTACCTATATGACGCAATATTTAACAAAACAAATTAGCTACAGTTTTCTTGATATTTAAAATTCGATTTAAAACAGGATTTCGAAAGATACTTCCAACGTACTCACCATTATGCTTGCAACGATGAAAATGGAGGATCGTTTCCGTTAGAATCGCTTTTATAGTTGCAGAACAAGCCAGGCTTGCAATATAATGAGAAAAAAGTACCCAGATTTAATGGTGGAATTTAGGGGTAGGAAATAGGGACATTGGCTGGTGGGATTGGGCTTAAAGTAGGGCGTAAAGCAGATGCGTATGTAGTAATAATTTTTCCTGAATGTATCTCAGGAACTAAGCGAGCGCATGTCATATATGTATAGAAGAAGTTATTCAAAATGTTCAATTTTATAATATGTATATCCAACTCTCATCGAAATAGGAAAGGAAGTAGCTTTTTTACAGTTTGACTAATGATTTCATGTCAAATCATTAATATAAAGTTATTCTATATTTATTAAAAAGTCAGTAGATCTATGAATTTTTTAAAATTTAGAGTTACACAGTGTGTGACTCTAACATTATTTTACATATGTATATGTACATATTAATTTATATATACAATATAATTTCGATCTATACTGGAAGATTCAGACAAACGAAGAATGTCTTGCGCTGCCACTGTAATTTAACAATTAAAACAATTCAAGTGTGTCTGTAAATGTCCGAGTACTGCTTACCAACTGTAATTGTGGTTAAAAGTACAAAATCATATGTAATACCTATCGTAGCATCGCATATAATACCAGATGGTGTGACTTGTGTTGCTTGTGGTTGCGCTGATATCGTACTCTCTTGCTCACCCATCACTTCCTCTCTTTGTTTAGAACCGTGAGGGCAGCACTGTTTAACAGTGAAGCATCAACCAATCAGATTTCTCTACCTGTTTCATGCCATTAAGCTGGTTGTCCCCGCTTCGCTCACTAAAGTTAGGCACTACTGTATCTATCATATGGTATCCACCGTAAATAACGTAAGGTGTTTCAAAAACACCTTGGTTCTGTGTCTGTAACATTGAATCAAATCTTTTTAGATAGACTCAGTCATTTTTCCCACTGTCTTTGGTATAGTTCGATCACAGTAATATGGAAGGAGAACCGAACAACTCATTCGTTCGATTTATGAATTCGTTATTTTATGTAGTGGATGCGCCAGTCACATATGTGCGAGGTATTATCTAATCAAACATTTGGTTATATTATTATTATAATAGAAGCAGAAAAAATGAAGACTAAATAAATCCGTTATGGTTGACAGAAAAATTAGTAGAGCCAAATCAGAAGAAATATCCATGGTACCATCAACAATTCCGTCGAGTTCCAACAATTGAATCATGTAAACAGTTCGACTTCGGTTGTATCTTTGAGGCACAAAGACAACAAATGCGTGATAAGTAATTTCAGTTTTTTTTCAAGTTAACATCACATAATCATATAAGATGATAAACATCACAAACATCATATAAGTTTTTATAAGCCATTATACAGATCTTTTAAGATCACAAATTAAAAAACGAGGTTTTCTGACCTGAAAAAAGAATTATCATATCACTTTTGCAATTTTTTTTCATTCAAATTTAATCAGCATTTCATTCAGCATTCAAATAATCAGAAAAAAGGTTGGAATCTTCCATTGTAAATAAAAAACTACAAAATATACTTTTAGATTGGTTGACAGCTTCATTGTGAGTACATTAAGAGATCGGTACGAGCACTGTGCATGGGATAACTACGATGACAGAGATGAACTCTGCGCCCATTTGAAACAAACATACGATGAAGCTGCTGGAATCTTTTACGCAAAATGTAAAGTTTTATAATGTATTATTAAGTACACATTTAACAAGTACTATACACAATGTTTAATATCGATGGTTCTTTAAACACAGATTCAGACCAGCCTGCAACATGTAAGACCGATAAGTTGTTCATGAAACAACAGTATCGCATGGTTTGGGAAAGACGACACGGACCTGCTGGATCTGGTATGAAGTCTGATGATACTTCCGTCTAACAATGTTAAGTTTTGTAGGTAATTAATTGATGTAACACGTATAGAATATTTGGAGATAAACTCTATGTTTATATCATTGTATAGCAACTCTGTAAATTGAGCCAAATAAATCAATTTAAAGTCTACAAAGCTATACTTTTCATTTTTTTCGTATTTAACATTTACTGTAATTGATCAATTTACGAGTGTCCTGTTAATTCTTTTTTTATTTGTTTCCTATTGTAACAACGTATAAAAACATCCGTATTTATCGTACATGTATAACAAATTATTTTATTAAATACTTGATTAGAAGATTCCATTGATTCCATCGAATATTTCATTTTACAATTTTGTTTACGTTCGTTATTACAATAAAACTTTTTGATACAATTGTTTCTTTACAAAGCTTTATGTATTTTGACATCTTCTGCATACAGACCAATTTAATTTCCTATTAGCCGGAATGTTACTACCGCATAGAGACACATAACACAATAGTTACTTACACAAACATAAGTGGAGTAATATTACAAATTTTTAAAAATAAATTAAATGAATATAAAAAACATTCCTTATGACTAATGGAAAATCGAAATTGTGTCAGATTCAATTGATTTGAGAAACAATTAAATAAAAATTATCACCACCTTTCGTGTAAATATAAAATACAATAGAATTAATTCTTATGTAATAAATATATAACACGTAAAAAAAGCATTTCGTATAATTCGTACAAATTAATAGAGACCGATTAAAGATCGCAGGAAACCAAGAAGTCTCGTAAAAATACTAATACATGATTGTCGGTCAACGAATCGTAAATTTTAATATTATGAAATTGATTGATATATCGCATATGTTACTCTTTTTTACGTTTTATTCTCTTTTTTATTTTCAAGCAATGCAACTAAACCAAATTACGATGATACAGTGGCAATTTTCGTATCTTTCGCTTGCAATAAACGATTTGGACTTTCTTATGGCTGCAAAACTGTACACATACTTAGATTTTAATAAAAAAATTTCTTAATAATTAAAATAAAACATGAGATCAACAAAATCATTTACGTGCAACTACCAGAGAACACTTATTCCTGTTAGTATTTCACGTTATGTGTGGAAATCTACTAATAATGTATTGTTGTAACATAATGAATCTCAATGTTATTAATTTTTTTTTTTTTTGAAAGAACAAAATATTCTAATAAAGTAGTACCATTGTTTAAAAGTAAATGCTTTGCGATCCGATCAATACCATTCATTCTACAGAGCCTTGCGTTTTGTCTTATTCTTGCTAAAACATTTTTTTATTGTCACCGTATTATAATCTTTTAGAAAGAAATTACTCTCAATTCGTATTCGTGAAAGTCCGATATTTTCGATTCTTGCGACTAAGCTTTTTGGCAGTGACTGTGGAAGTGTATTTATATTTCCTTCATTTTAAAATTACTTTCGCGTACACCATGAGATAGTATGATGTGTTTCTAAGTATTACATAAAGTCTTTCAATTATCATTAAAATATTCAAAATACATTCGTTTGTAATACAATTTTAAAAAATCACGTGTACTATATAAAAACAAACAGATAATAATGAAGGGAATCCACTGACATAAATAGGAAAAATCATTGTATAAATGAATATATAGGACGAACGATTGACCGATAGAAATTAATTGTATTCGGTTTTGTAATTGGTAACGACATTGTGTCTATAGACATGACAATTTAATCAGTATGTCTTGACTCGCTAAATGTAAATCATTCCTTAGGACAATAATTTACAATAATTAATAGGATTGGGCTTATTGTGCTGTTATACGTATGAAATATTATATTAATTGTAATGACGTATGCTTTTTTCTCACGGAGAATTCTTTCATAACCATTGCTTAAATTAGTATTAGTATCGGCGTAGTATTAAGTTGGCCCAAACCTATAAAATATGCACAATTATTGCCAATTTTAAGTTCACCCTCAATGTATTCATGTATCATTTGCATTCTCCCTTTCTATTCTATATCACAGTATGAAAAATGCTACATGAACTTTTGTACACATTATAATCGATACATATCACTCGGTATAAACGCCGCACACTTATTCATATTTTTCAAATCAGAAATCATAGCTACTTAGTACATAGGTATTATTATATATACATACATACATACATACATACATATATATATTATACATACATACATTTTTTTCATCCTTCTTGAAAATAAATTCTGCTCTTTGTCGCGTATGTATCAAATCCATATATATATATATATCTATATATATAATGCTAGTAATATATATATATTATATACGTATCGCTAGCATTATATTTCAAATAGAAATGAGGAGGGGTACCTACCATTCAGGAAACGGTGTATAGGTATTTGAGCCCGTTGTGTTACAGCATACCGAGATGCTAGAAATCTCTTCTTTATTAATCCCAATTAACACTTCACGGTGTTGAAATGTATATGCTTTTGTGTGTGTGTGGTGTGTATGTCGATGGTGAGACGATGACGGTGGTGGTAGTTGTGTGTGTGTGTGTGTGTGTGTGTGTGAGAGTGAGTGAGTGTGTGTGGCCTTCGATGCCAGGCTTCATCGCTTCCAGCGTACACAACGATATTTGTACATTATTAAACTCTTTTTGTCATCCTTTAAGATTCGATGGGTCGATTAAACTGAGCAGCTAAGCGACGTTTCCCTGTGAACGCTGCAAAAGATGAACATTGATATGCAAATGATCATCTAAAGAATAATTAGTTGAATGCTAGCCAACTACATACATTGCTTCGTGGGAGTGATTTGTTTCTCGTTATCGGTATCATCGATCTCCGCGTTGCTGCTATCGTTGTCAGAATTCTTAGAGCCAATTATATCTGTTGATTTATTGACACGTTTCTCTTGCTTGTCCCCGAAGATTTGTGTGCTAATAATGTTTTCTGTTAACACGTTCTTCTTTGGAGTTAATGATAAGGAAGGTAGTGGCAGTTCGGAAGGATGAGGAGCCACAACCAAGTTGCGTTTCGAGAAAAAGTAAGGGGATGTGCGTGGATTCAAAGGATTTGCAGCAGCCGTTAGCAGATTCTTTGTTGGTGATAGCAAGTTGGATGCGCTATCACCGGACACAATTTGACTCCAAGAGGGAGGCAGGGTTAGCGGAGGAACCTACAGAAATATAAATAATAATCGAATGAAATATTAATATGAATTCTTAATACGTCGCCATCAAGAAGTATTTTACTCACTTGTACATTGGTATGTTCATCCTGTGGATACGTGAATTTGGTGGGAGTCGTCCACACTGAAGATTCCCACCGATCTTTGTTCTCCTACGATTCGGTAAAATTTGATTGTAATTTCAAATAGCATCGAACGAACGAAGAAAAATGGAACGCGCAAAGAATACCTCGGGCGGCGAATCTGGTTTTGGTGGCGGTGGCGGAAAAGTGGATGATACGATAGGAGTACGCATCAAGCTTTTGAGAAAGATTTCGCTTCCACTCTCTTGCAACGACCAATCGATCAATTGATCTTTCGACGTCGACATCTTCCAGTACGTGTCAGATTCCTTGGACCAAAGAGCGGTTTCATCGCATTGCTTCCAAGGAACCTGAATTTCAGTATTTTGTTCGGACCATTTTAATGAGCAGGATAATGGATTGTTGGAAACGTTGACACGGGATGAGGAATCGCTTTCGAACGATTCGTTGCTGGAATCCGTATCACGATACGACGATACCGATGTAGAAGCGGGTGCCGGCAATGGTATACCAACAGCTATCGAGAAAAGAAAATCTATCGTTTAAAATATAAATGATTCAACAATATCAGCAATCGTGTCAATTACATAAGTCATTTACCAGCAAGTTTCTTGTTTAGGTGTATAATTGTTTTCTTACGATGCGTTAACTGTATCGTAACTGTACAAGACAAGGCTTGCAAAAGTGCGAACACCGTTGAGAACCCATATTTTGCAGGCTTACAAACAGAACCTGTACTTGTCAAATATGCACTCTCGAATTGCGGAAGCCTCAATGTTCCACCATAATTCATCATCACACGGTATAAGTCACAAGCGAAACAATGTAATGGACTGAGCTCTATATATTCCTCGTTATCGACTGTTGTAAACTGAAATCGTAATTCCGATCGTGTGAATCGATCATTTTGAAATTTCTTGTAGTACCATCCGTTCCGAGACTTACCCGAACAACGTTCGACAGATTTTGTTTCACTTCGTCCATGTTGCATAGTTTCAAATAATACTGGCTGTACAATTGTTGGAACTCTTTGAGCGTCGTTCTGTGTTCAGGTTTCTCCATCAATACCCGACGACATTGTAAAGTTAATTCTTGCAAATGAGACTTATCTATCATCGTAACTACCGGGCCAGTCGCCAAATACATCACCTGGAAATTGATGCGTTGTTACTCGGTGTATGTAAATTCGATGCAAATTCTTTCGCGTTTTTATCTTAAATCGAAATCTACCTTCACTGTATCTCCAAGCTTCTGCATAAGTTGCTGGATAGATGCGCAATCGAATAATTCTGGTTTCAGCGCGTAACCAAACTGTCTGAGAAAACATTGTGGAATGTTGGAGATACTAAGACAACCTTTTGATCGTACGATCAGTTTCGATATTTGTTCGGAAAGTACGCGGACGCCTTCCTTTTCCGTCAGGGAGATCTGTCGTTCTCCTGAATTGCTGTCTTCGATCTTGACCACATCCGGTATGGCCTCGAACAGCTCGATCAATTTGGTAAAACCGTAATCGGACACACGACACTGATGGCCAAAATGATGATGGTACGAGGGCACAAATTTATTAAACTGCATCCTACAGTGTGGCGCGTGTCGTAATAATTCCACAACCTGTGCAAACGATCGATATATTTCGATTATAATACGATCTCATCTCTGTATTATTTAGCACAGTTTCAACTGGATTACGAAATTTATGCATTTATGAGAAAAATAGAAGAACATTTTTATTTTACATAAAGATGATCCCCCGTTTGGTCATTAATATTCTACCTCTACAGCGAATTGCTTCGTTCGTTCAATCTCTTCCGCAGTTTGTTCTCGTTTTGGTATTGCTATCATTTTATCTCCGCCGTTGATCGTGGTGACGACGACAGTGTTTTCAGACACTTCGCTAAGAATGTCGTTAATCTCGCAAACTCCATAATCTACAATGTCCCATGGTTTGGCTGTGAACAGTACTCCCATTATTTGCACTTCAATATAGTAAAATGTCTTAGCAAACGAAAAAATGGTTTTCCTTGGTTTACCTATTACTCTAGCATAAACGCTCGGAAATTCGGATAGTGCTACTTGTTTGCTGGCTTTCGATTTTAGGACTCGCAACAAATCAGAAGTAAAGCGACGCACTTGGGCTCGGTGGGACAATGTTACCACACGATTGTTTCCTTCACCCATCACCTTAAACACGTAGCGATGTTAACATGTTTTTCATTTAAAGGAAAATTTGTCAAAACTAAAATTTACCTGTACAGTATGTGTAAGCGCTTCCAATAAGTCGATAAGTTTAGTGAATCCGTAATCCGCAACTCTACATTGTCGTCCAAAGTGATGGTGATACGCTGGTATAAATCGATTAAACGGCAATTGACAGTGAGGAGCAGTTTTCAAAAGGTCGACCAACTCGCGACTGAATAGTGCTAATTGATTAGCAAGTGGAGGACTTACGCATTTGTTTTCTGGAGGACAATCAGCAGCATCTTTATCGGTAAAGAATAAGGAAGAAAAATTGTACGTTTGATCAAAAGGTCTTACCTTCATGATTATTATCATGAGATTTATTCCCTGTCCAAATAAGATATTTAACGCTGCCCATGCCTTGCTTCAATTCTACGCAAGGCAAACAAGATACCAAATGTTCTAAAGGTACTCCGTTCTCAATAACTTGTAGCTTTTCTTTGAATTCGGCCTCATAGCAATTTGGCAAGCTGAAATAATGAATCACGAATAAATTTATTAAAAGAGTTGCAATATGAAATTCTTAAAATATTAAGTTTATAAATAATATACCTAGGCAGTGGTAAACTTCCGTTATGTGTGCTTAGCAACTGATATATGCGTGAGTCGAGAACTTTCAAAGAAATGTTTACATTAGGAAGCGATGCTACTTTCTGCTCGGCCCATCCTTTATCCGACCATGGCTTTATCATATGAATGGCGCAATACGGTAGTTCCACTTGTTGTTCTTCCTAAAATTAAGAGATTTTTTTGTTATCTTATGTATACGATGTATGTAATACAAAAGCAGGACATATACATTATTTCAGTAACTATTCATCGCTTTAGACTATTGTCACAGCTTCTCGATGGTAAAAGGAACAGTAGCTCTACTATTACTGAAAAGCTCGAACTCGGCTTTCTTTGCATCATTTTATTATATTATTGGCATAATAAATGCTCGTTAAAGCTACGAAATTGAATATACCTGAACCGTAGTATTGAGACTAGGTGATGGAGTATTCCGGTGATCTGGATTCAGAGAAACCATCCTACCACCAGGATTCTCGGTGACGATACAAACATCTTTCATTTTGTAGAGTTCCGAAACGCTGATGGAAATCATGAAACGACTCTCATACATTTCACGGAATTTGAAAAGCGGAAGCTTATGTCCTGGTACTTCTTGCAATAACATCACAATCTGAGCTCGTATTACTTGAGGACTTGCTCTACCGCTATGAGCGTATGCTATTAAAATACGTTTATAGCCAACTTTGCGTCGATGTAATTGAGAAATTGCGTATTGAGCGTCTGACAAAGAAGGCACTTTGACGCTGGCAGCAAAATTGCCATCGGATTGTGTGAAAATCGAGACGTTTAATACCTGAAAGCATAAGTGTATATGAAACGAATATTTCTATTAATATTATTTATTAATAGGTAATTATCTCGTTCTATCAGGACACACAGATAATTAAATGAACTAATACCATTACATGCTCCAGAAAGATTGAGGCAAGCATGTGCCTCATCTTTTTTGGAATAATACTTTGATCTAAATTTGTTACTTGCAATTCAATAGGCGTGCAAGTTTCGTTGCTTATTGAACTTCCATTTTGACTACTGATTGGATTGAAGAATTTCTGAAATGACAAAGGTCGTATGCAGAATGAGAAAAATCGTATAAAATTAAAATTAGAAAAATAAATCACCTCCACTTCTTCGTTCTCTGCATCGCTTGGTTGATAAGGAGACGTGTAATTATTTTGCTGGTTGGTTATTTGTACAGAATTTTCGTACGGCGACGGTGTTCTAACATTTCGCACAGACGTAGATTGTTGATTCTTACAAAATGGAAAAACAATAATTAAACCATACGCAAATTCTTACGTGGATATTGCGTACTATATTTCATACCTGTGCACCCCACTGATTTCGTTCTCGCAGTTGTAGATCGCACATTGGCGATGGACTGCGACGTCTGAACGAATTTGATTGAGAGTGCCCGTTTCCATTGAAATTCGCTGAAACATTTAACAGAGGATGCTGCTGTCTCGGACCTGTCCATTCTGAAGATTGGACAAAAGAGTTATGTGCTCCTCGCATACGTCTCAAGCTCTCTGGAGTTCGAGAGGATACATTATTTGTGATTGTATTATCCCGAGCCTGCGGGATATGAATTCTTCTACTAAGTAATTTTTTCTCCACCTTCAAATTATTAATGATTCATTATTAAAAACAGCCATGGTCACGTTTGAAAACGGTATAAACAGTTCTACATACTTTATACTGCTCCTCCCACATATGACCAAATTGTTGGGAACCGGAGATTTGCCAAAATAATGGAGATTGGACCCTTGCAAGTTCATTATAGGTTCTATTAAATGTTACATTATTATTACTCGAATACGGTCTCCCAATGAATATTGGTGGTGGTAGAATCAACCTGTAAAGAAGAAATATGGAAGTGAAATTGTTTCTATTAATTGTATCATAATCTTTTGCTACGATAAATCAGATAAGATCAAAGACAAAACCTCATTGCCCGAGTCAGCAAGGACAGTATTCATCTACTCGCGACTCGAAGGCTCTGATCTCGGATTTCATCATTTATGAAAGATTATTTGTATATTATTAACCACTTTATTACGGTATTAGCTACTAATTAGCCTTTTGGAAGCTTGTCGTTGGACTTTCTATTAACTGTGCTATATCTAACAGGAGCTTGATAATTTTCTTTTAAATAATGGTCTCAGAGAAAGTGAACCGATTATACTATTCAAAATTAACTGGTTGGTTTACAAATCAAATTGATAAAATAGTTAAAATGCTGATATAATGTATAAAGTTACCCTGGCGGAGCAGAGACAGGAGCACAATGAGCACTCCAGGCTGAAGCATATGATCCAATAACTGGAGATGATGATTGATAATGTGGCATTGGAAGTGCTCTTCCACCCGTTACAGAAGCACTCGCACTATACATTTGTTTTGAGGAACTAATTGGAATTTCTGATTCACTCACTGCACGATTTCTGTTTGTAAAGTTTCCTTCGATCATAAATCATTATGTTGTTAATGCGTATCATATATCGATCTACGAATACAATAATCGAATTAATTACCTTGAAATTTCTGAAAATAATTTCCTTTCTCCTTCGGAAATTTTACCGAAATTTTCGAACCAAGGACAAATTCTCCATCCATACGTTTCTGAGCCCTAGCAAAACAAGTCACGTTGTTATTGAGCAAAGCTGACTAACTGTAATTACAAGGTTCCACTACAGAAGATAATCAAATTCGTCTATAAATGACCTTTGGAGGGCACAGGACACAAGCCACAGAATATATCATATTTATGATATAAACGATATAAATTTGAAATTCAGTTAATTGACTCTAAAGGCCTATGTACAATATATTTGAATAGATTCTCTTAGTCACCTTAAAATACATCATTTTATTTTTGTATATATATATATATATATATATATGTATATATACGCTACTGACTTACCCAGCACATAAATAAAATCATTGGATCAAGTCAACATTATAATACACATCAAACAAAACTATAAATAACAATGATGTACCAGATAATAACTTTTAACGATAACAGCACGATATACATAAATTAATCAAATATGTTGTACAAATCAAAATTATAATCTTTCTACAGTACCACTATGTTCGTTACATTGCTGATCAGAGTTTGAAATCTATCTTATTTATGTATTTGTCCCTACTACTCGGAACATACATTTTTTCTGAATACCACATAGTCCAATGAAGTAGCAGCAATTACTAATGAGTGATTGGTCCCACAAAAGGCGGGCTACTTAAACCTGGATATAATATATATACCTTTCTGCAAAAATTTGTGAAGTGAAACGTACAACTGCATTAGTCGATTGGACTTCCACTACCCGTCCACCACAGTTTTCTGACAATTGTTTAAGACGACGCTTAATGCACAAAACATCTTTATCTTTAGGGAGATTACAAACTAGGAGGTCATAAAATGCAGTAACCTGTAAAGAATACAAATTTGACAAAGTACTAACAAATTTTTAATTTCGAGAAAACTAGAACTTCCGTTTAATTTATAAAACCACATGTGTTAGTAGCAATGAAGATGGACAAATTGACAGAAACATATACATATGAACAATGACAAAAATATTAAAAAATTCAGAAAGCGCAGAAGTTCCAAAAAGGAGTTTATTGTATGTAGAAAAGATACCAAATAAAGGAAACAATAGAAGGAATAGATAAAAATTGCTCTTATTACTAATAGACCTAATACGTATTATTGTGAACCTTTTACCTCTATAGTACTGGACGGCAGTGATTCCATAAGTTCAAAAAAATCATAATGCTCATTGGCACAGAATATTAATGCATCAGAGGTATTCCTACTGTGCAATAGTATTACGTGGATCTTTTTTCTATAACGTAAATCGCTGAGATCAGCAGCAAAATTAATATCACTAGATATTAAAATCACAGTTGCTGGACTTCCATGTATATCTGCAAACCTCCTTATGGACTGCTTTAACTTTTCATCTGCAGCATTTTTACAGCTTCCAGAAACATGTATTAAATTAACCTAATGCAAATAATATTAATATAATATGCTATATCGTGAAGAGTCTCAAAAATTTCTATAGTAGAGATAATACCAACTTTTTACGAATACATTTTATAAGTTTACCTGAGCATCGTTTAATTCTTTCACAACCTGACTAGTCTCCTTCCAAACATCACAAACAACGATAAATTCTGCTTCTTTGTACCTACTAAAAAATTTATCTCTAATTACTTGTGTTGCTGCTATAGCAGACTTTCCTTTAGGAACCTGAAATAAACAAACATGACATTATTATAATATGTACACATATTTGTACTAATTAATTCATTCGTTGACAATGTAATACAAACCTGACAATTTTCTATGTCCCAAAATACTCCAATAGGTGGTAGATATGCTGGTAAAGTTGGCAATTTGGTTACACTATTATGATGTAAAAGAGAACAATCATGTCTATGTTGGCTAAACAATGGCCAATTGGATGCTTTACTTTCATTCTCAAATCTACAATTATTGGTATTACTATCACTCAATGTTTGTGATATGTTGCTTTCATCATTTTGCGACAAAACTTTTTGTGCAGATAATAACTGTAACAACCTTTCGTTAAGACCTTCAATTTCATCTTTATCGTTTGCACAGAGTGCATGATAATTTTTAGTGTTTTCTTGGCCTGCCATGTGTTTTATAAGGTATCATTTAGTATCCTAAGTATGTAACCTGCAAATAACATAGTAAAGACGATGTAGTATAGTAGATAAAATACACAAAGGAAAGAAGAAAGCATTAGAATTAAAAAGATATTATTATTATCATGAAACTGATAAATTATGTGCAATAATCAGATAATCACAGATAGCAAATTTTTCTACGAACACAGATGTTTTTACTGTTCTTCGAGAAGTAGAATTAAATTAATGCTTATTTTCTTCTGTTAATGATTTTGAAAAGATACAAATTAAACGAATCTTATTGAATCATCACCAAAGCATTTATTTTGTTGCATTCATCGCACCTGTGTATGCAACAGAATACGATTTCGAATGAACAAATACGCGTATAATTATATTTAATGTCGAGAATGTTATGCAAAATTAATACGAACAACATTCGCAGTGTGATACGATGTAGAAAAATTTGTACGTTACCTAAAACATTAACCCATTATAGTCGGAAAAGTGTCTGTAAGAGGCGCAGATAAACAGAACGTTGTCAAACGTTATATAGATGCAACTTTCTCAACAAGTTCTAAAAAATACACGAAATATCGCACAGAGTTGTCTCGTAAATGGATTTATGCATTGTATAGAAATTCATAACCAAAATTCATACCACCTATAGGAAGCAAACACCGAGTAAACTAGCAAATGAACACACGAAGGTACACGGTACACGCAAGTTGGTATGTGTGTACATGTCCATGCATACTGCATGCATACATATATGCGATGTTCACGGACCACGGACGCACAGTTGGGAGACCACGGGGCCATGAGACAAAATGAGGGGCCCCTCCCGCGTTGATCCCCCTTCTGAACGCCTATTTCTCCAACAGAGCAAATACATTACTACATACATGTATGTACTATGTATACAATACGATGCAATACGATATGTAGCAAGATCCTCCGCATCTGCAGCTAGCACGTTCATTAGATCACAGCGCGCGAAATTACGAACGCGAGTAAAGTATGCGCAACCAATGAGAGAGAACTAATGACTATAATTTTATATTGAATTGAATTTTTAAACTTCTTCTCAGAATAGCCATTTCAAAATTCAAGATTTCAGAACAGTTGTGTCAAAACTTGAAACAGCAGTATCTAAAAATAAGAATTTAGAGATACTATTAGTATTAAAAGAAAGAAATCTAGAAACAGGAATCTGAAAACTAGAAAGGATCTAGAAATAGAAATACGCTTTTACAAGATAGAGCAGAAATTAGCACGGAACCTAATTGTTCCGGATATTGCAATAGAAATAACAAGTGACAGAAACAAGCTGTTAGAAGAGTAGTATGAGGATTCATAGGAAAGAAGAAAATCGTATTAATCAAAAATATTATGGTTTGAATAACGTGCAGCAAAGTGCCCTTTGGACTCACTGCAGAAGGAGACGGCGCGTTTTAAACAAATTATTTATTATTTACTCGTATTCATGTTATGAACAAATATAAAAGCGTATGACAAATATTATACACAGATATTCTCCTAGCTTTGAAATAATATCCATTCTGTCTGACGATAATTTATGAAAATATATTCTTTTAAAATATTTCCGCTTTAGTTTATTATTGTAACGATCCAGCATTACTGAAAATGGTGTCCATGTCCATTTGAGACAAAATTTCATCGTCAGAATCATTTTCAGTAATACAAAGTACATTCAATTCTGAATTAGAATTCATGATTAATTTGTTTTCTTGACCCGTATCATTGTTGGTATTTAAATTCAATAAATGTTTTGATTTGAATTGCTTGCTCTTCTCTATGTAAGATGCATTTAATTCTGCCTTCTCGAATTCCATCTCTACCAGATGTTTACTTACATTATCCTTATCGACATCTGTCTCTTCGGAATAACTGCTGTCACATAACACTTCTGGTTCCTTTACTTTAGTATTCATTCTTGATATTCTTGGATTGTGTGAAAGTTTTGTAATGTTGTCCACGTTTGGAGAAAATCTTTTCAAAGCTTTTAACAAGCCTCCCGATTTTTGCAGCTGTTTATTTTGTTTCTCCTGTTTCTCGTTTGTAATTAGAACTACGTCTTGTTTTACATCTTTCAAACATTTCGAAGTTGCACTAATGAAACTCTTTTCGCTTTGCGTATTCGTAATTTTGCTGGTAGAAGCGGAAAAAGAAAAATCGTCCATGAAATCAGAATTCATCGATTCATTTCTACATGCATCCCATTCTGTACAAGTTCCTTTGCTAGAGTGAACTATAATCTTGTGCAATTGTTCTTCTACAATTTGTGGGAACACTTCATCTTCTTTCATTTGCTTCTGTTTTTCTTTCATCTTTTCATTTGAAACATTTCCTGGAATCGTTCCGATAGAATGTGTACACACGACTTTACCCTTGTTGGAGTAAATGGCTACTAAGCTTGAAGGTGAGATTAAAATATGATATTTACTGGTGAAGGATCCAAAAGTCTTCAACAAACCGACATTACGTAATAGTATAACAACGTTAGATTCCAGTAATCCTGGATATTTAATAGGTATATCCCTATGTACAATTCCTTGAATGCTGTCGGTAAAATCTTTTAAAAGAATAGGCGGATTGTCGTGACTGTGATCTATACATTCAATTATCCCTGCTAAAAAGCCAACTTTCAAACAACTGTATCCATTCACATTTGCCATTTGTTTGACGGTAGCGATTTCGCTTCCCCTCAAAAAATCATCTGGTAAATCGTCTAACATCAATTGCCAAGCACCTTCTGTGAACAGATTCTTTGTGGTTTGTGAGCAATATTCGGGTAAATCAGCTTCAGTCGATTCTGTTAATTCTTTGCTTTCATCTAAGCTATTCAAGTATGAGATAGGAATATTAATATCTATGTCATCCGGCAGTAAACCAGCTGGTCCCGGAAATCTTCTAATTAGGGCCATTTTTTTATTTGGTTGGACTTGAGGAATTTTTAAAATAGATTTATTTTTCATTTCGAAGAACTTTTTACTGGAATTATCAACTAGACTTCTTTGAAGATTGTTTGAATTACATTGCTGCCGTATACAATTATCACTGTTGCTCTTAATATTTAATCTGTTCTTCTGCAAATCTAAATATTTTGTATTCTCTATAACTTTATCTTCTATGTTCTCTTTCTTAAACATTTCAAGTGCAATATGTTTTGTAGGTAATTGATTGCTATCACAGCTTTGTGTGCTATTTGATTGAGATCTTATAGAGAAAATATTATGGTCAGACATCTTTTTGTTAAACATGCCAAGTATTAAATTTTTTCTTGACATTTTATCATCATTTTGTGATTCAGTTTTATTTGCAGACTTCTTTTCACACCAGTCTACACTGTAGTTACATGAGATAACAGAATCATTTGAAATTTCTATTTTACGTCTTTTTGGTTCTACTTCATCGTCACCCTTTGTACAACAAATATTACTAGATCTGTTGTCCACATCATTTAAGAAATCCTGAAAACATTATATATATAACATAAAAATTAGTATAAAAATTCTTTTGACGATCGATTACCTGATCCAAGTCCCAATCATCGCTTTCGAACATTTCCTACTTAAGTATTGAATTTAAATTACAATAAATATCTACCCCAAGGCGATCAAGTTTTTCAAACGATAAACACCACAATTATAGAATTGTACAGTAAATATTTACACGTTTTGTAAGTGATCTGCGTACATATATGTACATAGAATTCATAATCGCAGCGTCAAATGTATACATACATATATGCACGTACAATTGGTCACGGACGATATAAATAAGAAAGAAGTGTGTTCATACTTTCGAAATATGGTATATATTATGTACATTTCAACAACGAAAGGCGGCCATATTAGAGGGTGAGCGGGTATTTTGAATTTCAACAATAGAAATTTCCAAGTTTGCTAATTTCTTTCTAAAATTTAGAGAAGTCAATGAAGAGATGTTAGGCATACAATGAATTATTAATTTAATAATTTACAAGCAGCATTGTTTAACAGTATATTTCTTGAGCAGAATGCACGTGTATACATCTTTTTACTTGCATGTTGTATACAGCAATCCGCTTGCAACTTTCTCTACAGTTTCTTTATCAAGCAACTTTTCCACAATTGCCAAGCCAAAAGCAAATGCAGTTGCTGGGCCTCTACTAGTTATGAGATTACCTACAAAGAATAGATACATGTATACATTTAGAAAAGGTTTCTCTTCTTATTGGCTATTGTATAGATACCATCGGTTACAACTGTAGATTCCAAATATTCATATTCATCTGCCAGTTTATCTTTCATCGATGGGTAAGAGGTGAGCTGTTTTCCTTTTGCAATATCATGTGCTTTCAATGCGATTGGTGCTGCACAAATTGCCGCAATAACTCTGCCTTCCTTTTCTTGTTCCTTTAAAAGTTTTCCTACTTCTTGAGACTAAAAATAAATTTCGACTTCTGCTTCTTTGCGAATTTTCATTTTTCATAAGTATAAGTTTATTCACCGATGCAAAAGCTTCTGAGCCTCCTAGGCCACCAGGTAATATAACAACATCATATTTCTGTTGAACTGCATCTTTAAGATTCGCATCAACACAAATTTGAATGTCCCTGCTGCATTTTATGCATTCTTTTTCAGGTAGACCAGCTACAGTCACGTTGATCTAAAAACGATTTCTAATATATATTATGCCTCATAACGTACTATGGAATTTAAGGTTATAACTTGGAAAGGACGTACTCCGGCTCGACGTAAGATATCTGTAGTGATTACTGCTTCCATTTCTTCTGTACCATCAGCAACCAGTACAATTGCCGTCTTTTTGGCCATATTTACGGAATAATTTGCCTTCAATCGAGATATTGAAATTTCATAAATGAACTGTGCAAAGTGTGGAAGTTTGCGGCACAAAACAGACATGAATAGTAGATGCGTAGATGCGATAAAAAGAGGACAGGTTATAATTTATTATACACACATATACATACATATCTGCCTGTCTAATAGTGTACGTACGTATGTACAGTTTTCTGCCATTACTTGGAATGACAAAAAAAATTAAAAATTCTCGTTTTTAACTTTTTTATCTGAGCCTATAACGGTAACTCTCGATAACTTATATGCATGCTGAAAATTTTATCGAAATCTTTCAATGACTATAGCTCGATTCTGGATTAACCGATTTCGATCAAATTTTTATCACGCATATAAATTACCGAAATCTATCAAAGGCATTTTTTAAATTTTCGTTGTAGACTCAGATAAAAATGTTAGAAACGAGAGCTTTTTATTATTTTGCTGTCATTTCAAGTAATAGCAAAATTAAAAAAAAAGAAAGCGCCTGCCTAGTCTAGTCCCTCTATCATCTAAAAAGATTCAAGTCATTTTTTAGTGTATTTTTAAAAAAGCTATTGCGTTTTAAAAGGCAAGCGAATACTTTTCTTACTCACTGCATGTATATAGATATGCAAATACTAGAGCAATTTAAGGCAAATATTGATATATGATCAATTTTGTTTTTTTTTTTCAATGACCAACTATAAGAGGATTTTCCTTCAAAATTTAAATTATTACAGTAATTTCTGTGTAAAAATTACCAAGACTATTGTAGTCTTTTTCCTTGATTCTACCTGTTTGTAAATGTACATCATTTAAAAATGTTACCAACTTTGAGAAAATAAGATCAATAAATCTGCATTGTATGCACCTTTTCAAACGTTCAATAAAAGTTCAGTAAAAAGAAGAAAGAAGAAAGATTAAAGTACATATTATGAGATCGAAGATGAGCACAAAGTTTGAATTTTCAAGATTTGAATCGCCACCAAAAATCCACTGTTGGGGGAACACTCGGAATCGGAACGCACCCCCACAATAGAAAAACGAAACAAAATGCAGTACAAGATGGCTGCGTTTGGGTGTTGTGGCTACTGATTTGTGTAAGATATAATCCTGTAATACTCGATGGTTAATTTGCAGTAAATCGTTAAATTTGTATATCGGTTGTTGATCAACGTAAGCGGGGTGATATCGTATGTAGCTTGTACATGTGGAAGTGAGTCGTGTTGGGAGGAACAATGCGAACACATCGTTGAAACATTTATCACGGGTGAGTTTGCCTTGAAATTTTATGGCTTTCCCCTTAATTTTAACGGCTCTCCGGAATTCTGCCAAGACGAAGCACGATGCGACGAAAAATTTGAATGTACTGTTCAAGAGACATCGTCAAATAATTCGATAAGTTGCTGGCTGTTCGCAATTCTGCACCCGAACACATTTCAGTCGAGTTTTCTGCGTACATGACGAAATTGTGTAAATACCTAGATGTTTTTTTTTCTTTCTTGTATCTTCGCATTGTACATCGATGAGTCAATCAACAAATTTTTTATGACGTCCATCACATCTTGGCACGCTTTAAATGCGTTACAGTATCGTTCAAGCGTTTCGATTAAAATAAACCTCATTTATACCGCTTACCGCTTTCACCGTGACTCAAGACCACTTCAAGAAAATCAAAATATGTATCAGCGAGTACATTTAAATGGGTTATTATATCAACATTGTACCTTAATGAATTGTACCAGTCTGCAAGGTCGAACAAATCTTCTTGTTTTCTTTTTTCTCTAAACTCAAAAATTCTTTCCTTAATTCGAATTCAAGATTCCAATGTGCATAGTTTTCCATAGTTCGAGAAAAAAGTACTATCATTTGTTATTTAACTTATATTTTACCATAGGATCTTTTTTGCATTATACGGTATACAATACGTAGTTTATAAGATACAAAGAACTTAACATGTTCGTTTTGATAGTCTCTCACGTATGCAACCGAGTAATTCGAAAATTAATGTCATAATAACTGACATCATTGTATTGAAAGAGGGGTCATTAAAAAAAGAAGCATGTTAGCAGTACTTCTTTTTCTAAAATTATTACAAATGTACTGATAGAATAACTATACAGTTCAGGGGGTGGATGATAGGAATTTACTGAAAGTCCAAGATAGAAGCCACTCGAAACACTGGAGAAAGACGGTGGAGCTTCGGAGGAGGGGGAGATGTCTGCCGGCACCCAGGGCGAGATTCGGGTTGGCCCTTCGCACCAGGTTTGCCATATAACTTGAAAAACTTTTTGCTACTTAGCTATATTGCACAATGTACCTAACTCAAGGCTTGTTCTCTTAAGACATGTATTTTGAGTGTAATAGATTAAGGCAGAAATACGATTATAGAAGCATCGGTTAACTAGGACCTAACATTATCATGTTACCTAACATTTTCTATAGTAATTACTTTGAACTTTACAAAAAGCTTTCTTTTGAACATTATAAAAATTTGAAGGATGAAGTAATTGATCGAGTTACATGTTGTTTCAAATTGTTGGTTTTTATGTATACATGTACCTATTCGCAGATTCAGACAACTTTATATATCGCGTGTATGCAAAGTTGTTTGACACTTTCTTAATTTACTATGGACACTGATAACAAATGTATGCATACTGTTAATGTATCGGGGCATAGATGAATCAGTTAGAACCATTGAAACATTTACTATATTATCTTCATTTTAATTAATGTCATAACTCCTTGATGAAAATGGAAGTAAAAATGTTCCAATTGTAGGTGTCCCATTAGTTTCAAGGATTATGAAAAATATGCATGACTTGTGCTTAGTTACAGGTTTAGAGCAATTGAGATACCGGCGTTTGTTTACCGCTTGAAGTATATATATTCATAGAGTATGTTTTTTCATTGTTTCATTATAACCTTGATATCTGCCTGTATTTGTACACGTTGAAAGAGGAGCTCTAAGCTTGAATAGCAAAAAGAGAGCAGGTACCTATTCGTTACACAGTCTCGTTGTACGTCGATGGTTCAAATAACAATGATAGTTATTCTTTAAGTCTGCACGATAACAACTCTTGTTTATTCAACAGTATGATCGCAGAGCCGAAGTACCATGCCACAGACGAGATATTGCTACTCGAAAGACCCTGAATATGATGCAAGTTATTATGATGAAATATTTTATAACAATACATAGGGTGATACCATATGGCGTAAGATTATTTCTATGTTCCTAGTGGTATTCAGTCACGGTGAAATGACAGAAACACCTTTGCTACAGATACAGAACTTACTCCGTTTACATGATAACCCATTGGTTACTTGAACCATCTATGAGTATAATAATGTATTGTATATTATGTAATGTTTGCGACCAAAGTACAGGATCTACAATACCAACACGTAGAGAAATATGATGCAATCTATCTCTCCACTTATATTGCCTTCCCCATAAATGTGTTTTGTTTCCATTGTGTAAATATCATATTCCTAGTTTGTTTGTTTGTGAATTATCTCATTCATTTCCCATTGTTTGAAATAACTTTCACCATTTCTATCGATCGATTCACCAAAGAATATACATGAATGTGCTTTCGTTTGCTACATTAACTTAATATAGCTTATATCGTGAACGTGAACATAACTAATGTTATTAAATGTAAAGCCAATAATAACATGTGTATAATAATCATACATTATTTGAATTCTCGTTTTTCATGCTTATATTTATGATCATTAGTTTGTACACAAACATAAAGTACTCACGCTACTTCTCGTACCAGTAATGTAACAAAAGGAACAGAATGGAAAAAAAAAAGTTATACTGGCTCGTGTAGATTTCTCGAAAAGCAAGCCGGAGTATAGGTGCGTACAACTAACTCGCTTTGGCATTGGTGCTAACCACGCACAACCCCGAATTTTGGGTACAGGAGTTGGTTTCTTGTCAGGCCCGTTTGCCTGAGTATCGGCCGGGTATACCTCCTGGAGAGCTGCTTCCTGATCCAGAGTTTTCTAAAGAACGAGAAGAGCTAAGATGGATTCCAGCTATGGCATTAGACGGGGATCTTCTGATGTACTTGAGAGCGGCACGATCTATGGCTGCATTTGCTGGCATGTGTGATGGTGGATCCCCAGATGACGGTTGTGTGGCTGCATCCCGAGACGACACGACTATCAATGCTCTGGACATCTTGCACGACTCTGGCTATGACCCAGGAAGAGCATTGCAGGCTCTCGTTAAATGTCCCGTACCTAAAGGCATCGATAAAAAATGGTCTGAGGAGGAAACTGTAAGTTGAAATGATCGAACCAGAAACTCTTTACCAAAGCGTCTCTTCTTTTCTCTGTTTCATCCTATGCTTTCCTATCCTATCCTATCCTATCCTATCTTATCCTATCCTATCCTATCCTATCCTATCCTATCCTATCCTATCCTA